TGTTGAAGGATTCTCTCTGCAAACATTTTCACATCTGCTCTCATCGGCATGCTCGACTCGTCGATCTGTGAAAGAAGAGTGTGTCATATTCCGATGTAAATAAACTACGATTCACCCCTCCTGTTTACAGCTAGAGTTCCGTTTTACGATACACATACGATGATACACAGTGCGTAACTTGCGATCAACTTAGTAGTCCTTTCCGATGCCTTTGTGAAACACACGTAACGGGAACGTAGAACCACACGTGAACGGATCGTAAAATGATACAGAGATCGTAAGTTAAGAAGGCTTTGTGAAACGGTGGCCTGGACTTTATGGCCTAGGACTGACACATTATGGACCCGGGTTTTAATTGTTTAATTTTTTAGTCAATCTTCTTACTATTATCAAGATCTTCAGAAAGACAAAAAATCCACTTATTTTCAGATTTATTCAAGAAGAAATCAAAATAAAACAAAGCTACATACACTACAAAAGTCTAAAAGTCTGAAAAGACCAGTTTTTGTCTTAATTTGCATGAACTTTTACTCGACATTCTCCAAAAGTATGACTTGTGTCTTAATTTTTCTTGTCAAATTCTCATTTATATTAAATTTGTATGAAATTTACTCGACATATTCTCGACATTCTGAATATGGTCTTAAAATTTCTTGACAAATTCTTGACATTTGAATACTGTCTTGAAATTTCTCGACATATTCTCGACATTCTTATTTTTTCTCAGTATGGCTTGACATATTCTGAACATTTTGAATCGTGTCTTAAATTTACTTGACAGTTCTGAGTTTTACAAATCATGACCAATATTCATGATATAACTTTAATCTTTATTTCTCTTTATATGATATACTGTTGTTTCAAGTTACACTTCTTTACAACAAAAATAAAAGTTGGGCATGTAAAATAATTGAAAATTTGGGTATATAAATATTTTTACAAATGCAAATATGGCTATGAAATCTAAAGTATAAAATAATTACAAATTTTGATTCCTAAATCTTATAAATTAAATGATTCAAACCAATCATACTGTAGACATATTTCATTCTACATTCATAATATTCAATGTTGATATGGTAAATAATTATTATACCAAAATGTGGTTTATATAAATAGCAAATTATGATGATATACAAATCATTCATTTAACAGAAGAAAAATTTGTGTAATGTCATCTGTTGGAATATATTAAGTATTACACATGGACAGGATGTTCCCCATAAAATTAAGGTATTCCACAACCCAGAGTACAGGCAACTGTCAAATAGAAGTTATTGCTTTACCTGTAATCAGCCATACAACTTATCAGTTGACCGACCATGCCACTACAATTTAAAAAGTTTGTTGATAGATGAAAATGAAAATCATCATTTTGATGAAAAAAAATTGAATTGAAATGGATTTTCTTCATCAAAATTATGAAGTTAATTATTTTAACATAAAAACAAATTGAATAATTCCCAATGATTAAAAGAAAATTATTATCTACTCCAGGAATAATAAAAAAAATGTATTTATAATCATGATAATGGGTCCCATCAATGATTTCTATAGAAATCATCGATCTTATGAAATGGTTCTCAAACAGACATGCATAATATAGATCTAAACATTTTTTTCTTTTCAGGAAGGAGTTATCACAAATATTTATTTTTGATAAAAAATTATAAAATTCAACACTCAAATTTGAATAAAAAATGTTTTTGGGTTGTTCTAAAAAATGAATAAGGTTTTTGAATCAAGATGGGAACAAATTCTTTGACTTAAACGAAAGCCCCCCCCCCCTCTTTTTTTAGCCACACAAACCCAAAAGATGAATTGTGGGGTCCAAAAGAGATACAAGACACCTATTTTAGTAAAGCAAATTTGACTGGCAGTTTTGCGAATGGCAAAAATCTAAATGCTGTTTGTCAATACCTTCGACTTATATTCCAAGTGAAAACAATTACTTAAATGTTTAATAAAAATAAATCAAAATTAAACTACATGGGGGATTATTCATGGTATTCCAACTTAGTTGCACCAAAAGGGTATCTTACTATACCAAATTAATCCTTGATTCTTCAAAGTTTAGTTTAGCCATAATAAAAAGGAGTATATAACAGCAATAGAATGTCATAAACAGTGCAGAATAAGTCTGTTCACATTTCAGGCGAAATTTATACTGTTGAGATAGAGTCAAGACATATTTAAGACTGTCAAGAATGTGTCGAGACATATTCAGACCTTATTTAGAATGTCAAGAATATGTCGAGACATATTCAGACATTATTAAGAATGTCAAGAATATGTCAAGACAGATCGAGACAAATTTAGGACAGTCGAGAATTGGTCGAGACTAATCCAGACTCTTATCAGATGATACAGGAAGTGTCGAGAAATTTTAAGACAATGTTCATACTGTCAAGACACTTGTCAAGAAAAATCAAGAACCTTATTAGACAAATTCATACTATGTCAAGAATTTTTAAAAATTATTCAGACAAATTAAGAATGTCGAGTAAAAATTCATGCAAATTCAGACAAAAACTGGTCTTTTCAGACTTTTTGACTTTTGTAGTGATAACATGAAAAACACTACTTAAGAAGAGTTTCAAAGAATAAACTTATTTTCAACATCTCAAGAAAACATAATGTTTCCTGTGGGGCTTAATGTTACCACCCCTTCCTCTCCAAAACAAACACAACAACAACAAAAATACAAACAAAACAAAAACAAATACAAAATCAAGGCATTTTATACACAAAGCAAACAAAACAAGGCAAACAGAAAAGATTGTGAAATACTCGTACTGCAATAGCTACTGTTAAATGTGAATGTATGTGAATAGGCTTATAGAATGTGAAATACTCGTACTGCAATAGCTACTGTTAAATGTGAATGTATGTGTGTAGGCTTATAGAATGTGAAATACTCGTTCTGCAATAGCTATTGTTAAATGTGAATGTATGTGAATAGGCTTATAGAATGTGAAATACTCGTACTGCAATAGCTATTGTTAAATGTGAATGTATGTGAATAGGCTTATAGAATGTGAAATACTCTTACTTCTATAGTTAATGTTAAATGCATATATGTAACTGCACATATGTGGGCTTATTTTGTCACAGACTACAAAAAAAACAGGAACTTAAACGCAATATTTATGTTCTTGTTGTGCTCAGCAAAGCAAGTCCATATCTATTTTATAATGCTTATATATCGTTTATACATCTTGTTTATTTAATTTTTTTAACTATACAATTTGAGTTTTTAATTGATTGAATGATTGTTGACTTTTAATGCCACTTTCAGCACTCTTGGCTATATCCTGGCCGCCAGATTGTGTTGGTGGAGGAAGCTGGATTGCCCGGAGAGAGCACATGTTTTTTGCTAGAAAACTGACAATCTTTTTTCTAACTCAAGATTGAAGACGAACCCAGATGCTTCGTGCAAGGTTCGAACTCACAATCTCAGTGATACAGTATAGGAACTACTTACACAAATTGGCTATCAAGGTCTTTAGATGTGTGAGAACTACTGAATCGATAGCACGGAAAATATGAACAACAGATTGAAATTTTGACCAATTAAATATTTCAGGTCTTTTTTAGAAGAAAAAAATAATAACGGTACAATCTTAAATTCATTTAATTATCATTATAATTACAATTAGGCTGAAGTTATATAAAATTTTGGAATGAAAATAATTAAATAATAGAAACATTTTAAAAAAAAATTTACAATCGTTTATACTAATAATTTGTCATCACAAATTATAAAGAATAAAGAAGTTTTATTTATGTATTAATGTCATTTTGTTTATTTTCTTTGGTTACATCTTCTGACATCAGACTCGGACTTCTCTTGAACTGAATTTTAATGTGCGTATTGTTATGCGTTTACTTTTCTACATTGGCTAGAGGTATAGGGGGAGGGTTGAGATCTCATAAACATGTTTAACCCCGCCGCATTTTTGCGCCTGTCCAAAGTCAGGAGCCTCTAGCCTTTGTTAGTCTTGTATTATTTTTAATTTTAGTTTCTTGTGTACAATTTGGAGTTTAGTATGGCGTTTATTATCACTGAACTAGTATATATATTTGTTTAGGGGCCAGCTGAAGGACGCCTCCGGGTGCGGGAATTTCTCGCTGCATTGAAGACCTGTTGGTGACCTTCTGCTGTTGTCTGTTCTATGGTCGGGTTGTTGTCTCTTTGACACATTCCCCATTTCCATTCTCAATTTTATTAGGTAAATTCACGTAATATGAAAAACAGTCTAATCTTATTACTAGACAACACCATTTGAAGAAATGAAGGCCTTACATATGTTAAATGTAGACCTAAGGAAAACATACACATTTACTTGTTGATTTGATACTACTTGTAATATAATGAACATAAGGCAATAAATGTAAGTAATATGTAAAGTGAATCCAATAAGTTAATAAGCCAAAATTTGAACATGATGAAGTAAAGGAATGCTGAAGCTGTATAAAAGATATACAGAAAAGAAATTACGGTGAGAAAAGAAAGCAAGTCTACACTATTAATACAAATAAATGTGATAACATTGAAACCGTTATTATCTTTTATCAATTTTCATAGAGGGAAAATACTGCAGTTTGCATTAAAACATCATGCAAAAAAGACTGCATAAAAGTCATGAAAACAGACATAAGTAAGGGATGGTATATGATTTTGACAAATTAAAAGATATGACAATTGCAAACCAACAACATTTTAGGAAAAGTCGAAATTAATAGTAGAATCTAAAAACAAAATACTTAGACGGCACAAGGCTAGTAAGATGCACGTAGCACCACATTGTTCTAATGTTATGTTTAATTATTTGATATGCAAATATGATTTCAGGACGGGAAAAACTTCCAGAATGTTTAAAGATAGCAAAATAGTTCAATGCATCGTCGTCTGTACAAGTTAGAAGGCAATGATGATAGGTTCTATACAAGTTAGTAACTTAGAACAATATAATATGTAAAAGTATAACTGTACTTACATTGTAAAAACGACCACAACTGGAGAAATCTGATCACACAACCAAACACTCGAAGGAAGATTTCGTAAATAACACGTTGGTAAAGATGGAATGTTCAGTATAAACGCATGAATGGTGCAGTTATGTAACACATGTTTACTGATGATTCAGTGATTTAAGATGAAAAATACATTATGTATAGACTTTTAGCATATACCACTCCAAACGATGCCTAGTTTGGGCCCCCTTTTTTGTCGAAATCCTGGATCTGCATGTTGCACGAGCAAATAAAAAATGTGTGATGTCGTAACATTTATGACAATCATAAGACCATCATAAGTCATGTCACGAGGTGTCTTAAGTGCATGATAAAAGTTATGAATATCATGACTTGAGACCCTTTCGAATACATATATTATTATGACATGTCCTTTAACCATCGTAAAATTAACCTTAAGTTAAAATTAATGGACAAAAATACATATTATAGAGACTGACAGACTTTATGATGTTAAGCACCAACTAAGTCACTTGGCATATAATAACATCGCCGATTTTAATCTCAATTTTTTGCCGGAATTAATATAACTTGTAAATCACAGGCTATTCTATTGATAATCTAGAAACCTTGCACTTCAATGCAATGAATTTATTGCAAATTATATTACCGCACATACATGCTCAATTATGTTTCCTTTTAGATATTTAGATCTATCTTTTTGGTTGGGACTACATTAACTTGCGTAGTGCAACGGTTTTGACGCTGGGTGACTGGCAGTAACCCTTCACATAAGCTTTTATCCTCGTGCCATAGTAATTGAACTTGATAAATGTTGATGCGAATGACTTATGTGAAATTTCCGTAGTTAAAAAAAGGTATAAGTGATGTTTTTATTTCTTGATTTTTAACAAAACTTTTTGCAGTTTGTCAATCAAAATTAAGCGTCTTTTTCGAGGTCAGTTGCAGTACTATTATAGCAGCTCATACGAGGACCTCTTACAAAAAGCTATGGTGTCTTCCTTGCAGATCAGAGAGATAAGAACAATGGTTCTAGAAACTTACTGTTTTACAAGGTTATGAACAATATATCTCCTGTGTGTTTACAAAATTGGGTCAGAGTTAAAAAAATCTAAATATTCTTTCAGGTATGTAAATGTTACATGGCATTCAACCCGTGCCCATAGAGGGCTAAATAAGGTGTGTATATTTTCCAACAACCATAAAAAAACGCATTGACCTATTTTTTACAGCATTTTTTAATGCAAGTGTATTCTTTACTTCCCAATATTGCAGCACCATGTTCTATAACAGACGTAATGAAGAGTGTCGGAAATCTTAGTGAAAGTAGAATACTCAAAACCACCATTTGCTTTTATTTTTAACAATAAGTTAGCCTATGATTTTCTACAAATTTCACCATTTCATTATAATCCAAAAATTGTTTTATTTAACAATGCTTTAAATGACTTCATACTTAAATATTAAGATAAACTCGCGTAAAAACGAAGAAAAAAAAAGGTGGTGTACACGTTCTGTAGTGGACATTTGTGTTGCGTAGTTGACAGCTGTTGTTAGTCTTAATTTCCTACTAATTCGTTTGGTTTTTTTTGCCATTACCTTGTCGGTTTTTTCTTCGACTTATGAGTTAGAAAATCCGTCTCTCTCTAAACATGCATAATTTCATAATGTGTAAAAAAAAAAAAGGTTAGCTTTTAGTTTAGTTTCATGAATTTTCCTCCATTAATAGTGGAGCACTACCATATGGTATCGTGTTGAGGACTATGTACACATTATGAAATTATACATAGAATTGCGAGAAATCAAATAAAACATTATATGAATCTCAGGATGGTATACGTTTAAAATCAGAACGTATATACATGTGTCCATGTTTCCATCACAAGTTTTAAAACTCATATACATTAGGGTATGGATTGGGGGCTGGGGTTGGATGCGGTGCGGGTGGGTTGGTCGGTGGGCAGGGGACTTCATTTCTATATTCTTTAACCTTAAGAATATTATTCACTATAGTCTTTATATATTAGCACCCTATTTTTCTCTATTCTTTTTTTTGTGCTATATTTCTCTATGCTTTATTTTTTTGCCAATTATTCTCTATTCTTTAAACTCCATTCGGACCCTCATATGCAAATAAAGAAAACAATCTTTTAGATTTTGCCATTTTATAAAGGACTTTCCGTTTTGAATTTCCCTTGGAGTTCGATATTTTTGTTATTTTACTTTTTACTAAAAGGTTAATTCTTAGCTTGAATTATCCAGAATCACAATTATCTTAACATTCATAATTGAAATCATTAAAGTTGTTATTGTTTGAAATTTCAAACATATGTTTTGTATTAATAGTTAATTAACATGGTAAAGACACAGCAAAACTGATTTAAGAAATCTCCAAGTACAATGTATAAAATGGGAGATAATTTCAAAACGTCATTTCATTGTTTTGTGTTGGCTTCAAAATGACTTAATTTCCCTCACAAGAAAATTTAGGACAATCGAATAAAACCGCCAAAGCATAGTTACCAATAAAAGATCGAATTGATTTGCGGCATAATGAAATATAAGGCGGGGAAATTGAGAACTATATACAGTGAAACCTAACCTTTCCAAAACAAAAGAAAAGTATCCGTCCACCGATATGTTAAAATAAGAAATATGTACAGTGAAACCTAACCTTTCCAAAACAAAAGAAAATTATCCGTCCACCGATATGTTAAAATAAGAAATATGTACAGTGAAACCTAATCTTTCCAAAACAAAAGAAAAGTATCCGTCCACCGATATGTTAAAATAAGAAATATGTACAGTGAAACCTAACCTTTCCAAAACAAAAGAAAAGTATCCGTCCACCGATATGTTAAAATAAGGAATATGTACAGTGAAACCTAACCTTTCCAAAACAAAAGAAAAGTATCCGTCCACCGTTATGTTAAAATAAGAAATCAAACCAATTTACATGCAACGCAAAGAAACGAAGGTGCAGGAAAAACATAATATTTTGTTACCTTGCTAGATGGGAGTGAACATTAAAATCACTAGTTGTTACCTTGCTAGATGGGAGTGAACATTAAAATCACTAGTTGCTGAGATAATTCATTCCTTTAAGGATGTTCGCTACTCTGTTTCAAAATAACAAGCTTTGTAAAAGACTATTATAAATTGATAGCATATAAATAAAGGAAATTAAAAAAACAGTAAAAAATGAAGGGTCCGTGTGCTTGTTTTCGAGATATAGGCCATTGAAAATTTGGCGGGAAATAATTCTCTCTAGACTTTTCATATATTTAATATTGGCACCCCTTTTCTTTAAAAAATATGAAAAAATAACAAGGATTTTATAGCATTTTCAAATATGGCTTTTTAAACTATATGTAATAAAATTATGAAAAGAAAAGTAGGGGTTAGCGGGGAAATTTTTTTTAATGGCAGTACATGGATAAAAACAGAGGATTCCGAATATCTGGCAAAAATTCAGAAACAAGAGGAGCGAACATCCTTAAGAGGAGCCATGCAGCAGTCGGTCAGAGCATCAATATAAAGAATTAGAGGCGATGAAAAACATACAGAAATATCAAACTTATAGTATGTTTCCCATCTAAAAATGTCAACATGCTTAAACAGGCTATCCTAATGATTGTGTATTTGACATGTTTTATGAAATCTAAAATAAAAATTAACCAATTAAGAAAAGTTTAATGTTTGCAATTGTATTTAAAACATTCACACGTCATATAAAAGATTAGGTAACAATGTCAACCAGACAAGAATCTGACTTTACAAAAACATTCCTAGAGACTAAAATAAGCTATACAACAACAACAACAACATCATCATCAACAACAACAACAACAACAACAACAACAAAAACCAAGTGACTATAATTATATAATATTGACACATATTTATATAAATATGAATTTTAATCTGATTGACTTCCATAGGTCACTTAAGCTGTGCAGAATAACTAACATAAACCGAAATGATTGTTCATTAACTATTACATATGCATGTTTATAGACAAGTTGTACACATATATTTCTGCACTGCCATAATTAATGACAGAAACTAGTTTTGAGTGTTTTATAAACTGACATTCTTCTGTTAAATCAAAATAGAATATATTTTACTATGATTCTACACATGTTTTTATATAGCTATCAAACACTCGATTATAATGTTCAAAGGATTTATGTTTTCAAGAGTCACTTGTTTTTTTCCACAAAATGTTGAGTTCAGCATCACATACCAATTACGAGTCTGTTGTTTGACTAGAATACAACTAGCATTTGTTTAACTCGTGTATTTTCAATAGATCCTTTATTCATACATTTCATAAAATCTTTTAGTTTAATTTGATATAGTTCTAAAATTTCCATCAAACTATTGAATAATGCAGCTTATGCGTTATACTCTCAATGGTAGCTTATGCTTTACCCCTTCAATGAAAGCTTATGCTGTACCGGGGTAACCCCCTCAATGGTAGCTCATGCTTTATATCCCCTCAATGGAAGCTTATGCTTTACCCCTCAACGGTAGCTTATGGTTTACTTCCTCTTCAATACAGAGCTCTGATCATGCAAGGTCAGAACTAGTGCAGTTTCACTATGACAGAGTCAATTAAACTATCAGAACAATTATAAAAAGTTGCTGAAATAGGAAAAGTTCATACCAGTGTATATGCGAGAAAAAAATCGTCCAAAGATCTGATAAATTTGAATAAGTGGATGTAAATAGCTAGGATAAGATGCATGAAGAAACATTAATTGATTTTACAGCAGGTTGATTGTTAAGATAACTTGCGATTTTCTTATTACGCGCGGTCTGTTTATTCTGAGTAATTTGATAGTATTTAACACACGTTCTCTAGGACGTGCATTTAGGTTAATGTTATGAATTGGCAAAACTAAAACTTTTCAAAATGGCTGATAACGATTCCGAAGACGATGAGAGAGGAATTCTATGTGCGAATTATGACACTAGTAGAATGCCAGCGTGTGGAAAATCTGGTGCCAAGTTTTGTAGTTTGGTATATATTATTTTGAATATTTTGACATGTTCGCTGATTGTACATTTAGTTGGATTTTCAACTGCCTACTGGTCCCACGGGGAGGATTTCTATCATACAGGGCTGTGGCTGCTGTGTGGAATAAACAAACACAAATGTCAATATCTACCATATAATGCAGGTAATTTCACCATTCAATTAATTGGAGGACAAATTAAGTATGACAGGGGGAGTTGTGTCTGTGAGGTGGAATAAATAAACACAAATGTCAATATCTACCATATAATGCAGGTAATTATACCATTCAATTAATTGGAGGACAAATTAAGTATGACAGGGGGAGTTGTGTCTGTAAGGTGGAATAACTTCTACTGAACAAAAATGTCAATATCTTCCATATATTTTAGGACAAAATAATTATATTAGGGGAAGTTGGAATTAATACCACTAAAAGAAATGTCAATAAACCCCTATAAAACAAGTCATTATCATTTGGCCAATTCTAAGACAACTTAATTACAGCGTAACAGTTTACAATGGTTTAGGGAAGTTATTTGCTCTGTGAAATTAACCATGATGAATAAACAGATATGTCAAAATCTCCGACAGAAAGAATGCATTTAATTATTATTTCGAGGACAAATCAGTAAGGGGTATTAGGTTGCATTTTCATACTGGTCTTGCGTAGAAGATGATTTAGTAGAGATGTTCAAATAGATGGTTTATGTTTGTCATAACTGCTGTTTCTTTAATATTTTTATCAGCTTAGATCAGGCCGTTAGTTTCCTTTGCTCGTTTTCATAGGTCTTTACGGTCTTCATTTATTTATGGTATGGTTTCGATTGGTCTCTCATTGATGTATATATTCATGTATACCGACAACTTCTTCAAATGAATGATATCCTATAGCTATTAATATAAGGTCTTTGCTAGTCTCTCAATCATGTATACCGACATCTTCTTCAAGTGAAATACCTACAGTTATCTATAATATGGTTGGTTAGTTTCATTGATGTATATCGACATGTTATTTTGGCTGGTCTCTGATCGATGTACTCCGACATTGTGTTGGCTTGTCTCCCATTTATGTATACCGACATGGTTTTGGCTGGTCTCTCAATGATGTATACTGACATGGTTTTGATTGGTCTCTCATTGACGTAAACATACATGGTTTTGGTTGGTCTCTCATTGATATATACCGACATGGTTTGGTTGGTCTCTCATTGATGTATACCGACATGGTTTGACTGGTCTCTCATTGATGTACGTATACCGACAGTGTTTTAGTTGGTCTCTCATTGATAAATACCGACATGGTTTTGGTTGGTCTCTCATTGACGTATACATACATGGTTTTGGTTGGTCTCCCATTTACATATACCGACATGGTTTTGGTTGGTTTCTCATTGACGTATACAGACATGGTTTTGGCTTGTCTCTCATTGACGTATACCGAAATGGTTTTGATTGGTCTTTCATTGTCGTATACATACATGGTTTTGGTTGGTCTCTCATTGATATATACCGACATGGTTTGGTTGGTCTCTCATTGATGTATACCGACATGGTTTGACTGGTATCTCATTGATGTACGTATACCGACAGTGTTTTAGTTGGTCTCTCATTGATAAATACCGACATGGTTTTGGTTGGTCTCTCATTGACGTATACATACATGGTTTTGGTTGGTCTCCCATTTACATATACCGACATGGTTTTGGTTGGTCTCTCATTGACGTATTACAGACATGAATTTGGCTTGTCTTTTATTGATGTATACCGACATGGTTTTGGTTGGTCTTTCATAGATGTATATTGACATGGTTTTGGTTGGTTTCTCATTGATGATTACCGACATGGTTTTGATTGGTCTCTCTTTGATGTATATCAACATGGTTTGAATTGGTTTATCGTTGATGTACACCGACATGGTTTTGGTTGGTCTCTCATTAACGTATACAGACATGGTTTTGGCTTGCCATTCATTGATGTATACCGACATGGTTTTGGTTGGTCTCTCATTGACAAATTGCTGAATTCCGTTTCCGTTCTCTAAATTTAGTTTGCCTCAACCAAATGTTATGAATCTTATACACAATGCTTATTACCACAAAACACAGATCAAATTCGAATTTTGGTGGCGTCACTTTTACCGTTCAAGAGTTATGCCCTTTACCATTGGAAAAATTGCTAAATTTTCGTTTCCGTTCTCTTACTTTAGTTTGCCTCAACCAAATGTTATGAAACTTATACACAATGCTTATTACCACAAAAAACAGATCAAGTTTGCATTTTTGTGGCGTCACTTATACTGTTCTAGAGTTATGCCCCTTTACAAATGGAAAAATTGCTGAATTTTTTTTTTCCGTTCTCTAATTTTAGTTTGCCTCAACCAAATGCTATGAAACTTATACACAATGCTTATTACCACAAAACACAGATCAAATTTGAATTTTGGTGGCGTCACTTTTACAGTTCTAGAGTTATGCTCCTTTACAAATGGGAAAATTGCTGAATTTTTCGATTCCGTTCTCCGACTTAAGTTTGTCTCAACCAAATGTTATGAAACTTAAACATAATGCTTATTATCACAAAACTCAGATCAAGTACAAATTTTGGTAGCGTCACTTTTACAGTTCTTGAGTTATGTCCCTTTATAACGTTATATGCAAGCGGGGGCTTCATCTGTGTGCCATGGACACTTTCCCCATTTATTTTTTTAAAGTTTTTGATACCATTTTGACCATAGCTACAATCAATCGTTGTTATATTATAGCTATATTCTAACTGTAATGAACTTAAATAACAAGTCTTTTCCCATCTTCCGGATGTAAGATATTTCAGTAAGAATAGGAACGTCTGTGATTTTCAGCACTGATACAAATCTAAACATATGTTCATATACAAAATATAAAATAGTATATCTTGTCTTACTTTAAGTTACATATGTCTTCTGTCGGATACAATATTATATTTGTTATTTATTGAAAAAAAAATCTATTGTATTTGTTACAGATGTTACTCGAGATCAATGATAATCTGTATAATAAATCATCATGTCATGTTACTAGTAAAGCAATGTTGAAATTACCGGAAGTTTTTATTTATTAAGCTTTTTTTTGTTATTCTGTTTCTTTTTCATAATTGAAATTTATATACCTGTTTTACTTAAATTTCAACACATGGATACCTTCTTTTACTAAAACTTTGTAAATATACTCCTGTAACAAATAAAACCTGTTACCTTGTTAACTTGACACAGCATTGTGATTTTTTTTATGGAAATGTCTGTTACATGTAGTCCATGTAAGTGATAAACACTATAATATCACTCTGCAATACTATTACAAAATAGACTCTCTAAACAATATTGTAAAACTAATGTAGTTTTGATGGACTAACCCAAGAAAAACAATTTAACAGCTTTTAAAAGAAGTCAACACTGAGATTTTATTTCGCTGTCGGCATATCATTATTTTATATTCCCTATCATGGGTTCAGGTCCCCTTTTTGTATTTTTTTCTTGGCTTTTATTGTTTAATTCAACGACCCCCTGTTATTGAAAGTTCTGAATCCGCCCCTTAACCACACAGGTAGTCATTGTAATTTGCTATCTAGACCACATATTTGATTTTAGGTTCAATTATGAAAAAAGGGGGATTTTATTTCATGAGGAGGGAAGGCTTTTAATTGGCGAGATTTAAAGAATTTTATACGACGAGGTAGAGAGGATTTTATTTGTTTGATTATTTTTATTTTTGATAGGAACTTCAAAGAAATAACTATTTAATACAAATGAAATACAAAATTCGGGTAGGAAATGGATAAAAGAAAAAAATTATTTTGGCTTCTATTTATTCAAATTGTTTGAAATAAAATAGATGTGCACACTTTGCTTTGGGTTGGAAGGTATTGTCTCCAGTTTAGCTGAATTCCATTTTGACTGACTGTAATTGTCATATAACACCTCACATGACATAACTGTTTAATGGTTTATGGTATTAATCACCATCTTTGTTTATCACATTACTCCCCGGGGTCACCTGTTATCTGTTCTGAAAAAAATAATTAATAACAGGTACACTTGTTAATGTGACATAAAACTTGTCATCTTGGAAAAAAAGAGACAAGAAAATTATTTTTGATACTGTCAAATATTATACAAATGGCTACAAACGTATGGATTAACTGATTACAGATATGTACGACTTTAAAAAAATTGTGACGTTAATTCGGACGTTTTTCTTTATGTTTGGAGTAGGGTTTACATTTCATGTACTAGGGTTTGGAACACCTTATTGGTCAGTGGATAATTATTCTTATAAAGGACTATGGAATAATTGTTACAAATTTATATGTCTTCATAACTGTTCAGATATAGGTATGTATTGAATGAAATACTGATTTTAAGAATCAATATAAGATACGGCATTCCTCGGTTGATTTCTACTGTATCATTTAAAGTGAAAAGGAGTGGATCAGCTGTTCCAAGTTTAACTTTTCTTGTTTATTAGACTAATTAACAGATCTGTTTAAAAATAGTTTTAAAAAGAAATACAAGTATTAATTATTTTTTTTTCAAAATTAGCATGATATCCTTATTTCAACATTTTACCCAATCTACTTTTCTGCAATGTACACCCTACCTGTTAGGGAACCCGTTTTATAAAAAAAAATGCTAAAATTTTGCATAGGAATTAAAATTGAATTGTCTTTCTTTTACCAAAGAAGTTCAGATTCTATTCTCAAATATTGAGAAATGTGGATACCCAAATTAGCCTTATGATAATTTTTATAACACAGTATAATTTTTATAACACAGTATAACTTCCTACATACAAACGATATCAGAAGACGTTGTTCATAGCAAGAGCAAAAGCTCAAATTCCCCCGAAGAAATGCAAAAATATCTTTTATAACCATTGATGTGTCACAACGTGACCTCTGAAATTTCACGATGGATTTCGATGTGATGATTTTACGGAGAGGCAAAATAAGACTATCAAATAATAACTTACAATTCTACAATGAGTGAACAGAAGTATTGACATTACTGTTATAACACCAGTTAATGTGTGTGTTGTCCTTGTGGTCCTCACCTTAAGAAACAATGAGTGAACAGAAGTATTCACATTACTGTTATAATACCAGTTAATGTGTGTGTTGTTCTTGTGGTCC